TCTCACCATCCCCCTACCTCAAACCCTTACTGACATCCAATGACTAAATACATGCAGGACAAAATCCAAAGCTTCTAACATGGTCTCAAACTCCCTGCAGGGTCACGCTCTCCCCCTTTCCCCAGCCATGCTGCATCATTCTCCGCCTCTGCTTCCACCAGCCACAAAGGCATTCTCTTACTTTCTAGAACACATCGCATTCTCTCCTGCCTCTAGGACTTCACAAATGTTCTCTATACTTGGAAGTCTCTTCCCCTTCAAGACACTCCAATGACTCCTACTGGTCCCTTCCCTGGTCTCAGATGTCACTGGCTCAGAGAAGGCTGTCCTAGTCCCCCAGATGAGGCCAACTGCCCCGACGGCACTCTGGACTGTTCCCTCTGAGTTTCCTTCAGTACTCAGTGCATAATGATTCGACAGGTATCTGTTTAATGTATGTGCTACCCTGTGGACTCTCGCTCCTAGAAAGGCAGGATCTCATGCTGGTTACCACCCACTGCTGTGAGCCAGGGATGCACAGCCCTGGCTCCCTGGTATCCATGGGCAGACCTGGCCATGGGGGTTGATTTAGCCTCACAGAGCTCCATAGGGGCATTGAATGTGTCCACGGCCCCGTGACAAATGATTGTGAAGTTTCCCTCCTTCCAACAGTCTCTTGTCCATCCCCATATGCCGATCTCAGGTATAAGTTCAAATGCAGATCAACCCTACTAGCAGAAGCTATACCAATTACAACAGAAGAGATCGAGAGGTGAGCTTACTTTTGGTGTCCAGACCGCCGCGGTAGCCTGTCCAGCCCTTTAGAGTAATTGTGTCACCCAGGAGACTTAAAAATTTTTGAAAAGCTTCACTTCCAATTTCTGCAGGAAGAGACAAAGTATGAAGAAAGCATGGGTATCATTAACAAGTCCTTGTTTTCTAACTATTCCCTGGAGTCGCTTGAAAACTACCTAGGCTCTGCTCTGTGTGTGTGTGTGTGTGTGTGTGCTGTAAACAGCATGGAGAAGCCACGTTACCTTCTTGGGAACCACGAGGAAGTTCCACAATTCCCAGGAAAAGTACAGAAGCAGATGAACCACTTTTACCCCTACCAGACTGGGAGCACAGGTGTTTGGTATTGCAAAATGGAAATGTTATTATTGCTACCATTAATAAAAAAACAGGTGTTTAACATGAAAAGTGCTAAACATAAGGAAGATGACGCCATCGTATCATTTTCCCAACCACAAAAATCACAGAAGAATCATCCACTGCTCTTGGGACCAGGTAGAATCAAATTCTCCAAATTCCATTTGCTTTTCCATCTCTCCAGTGCCCCGAGCAATGACTGGTACAAAGATCTATAAACACCATACATGCCAAATGAAACTGGTCAACAACTGCCCCCAAAATCTACACTGAAATTTGGTAAAACTGTTTCCTTGTATTAAAGACTCTAACTCAGCGGTTCTCAACACATGGGTCTTGACCCCTTTGGGGGTTGAATGACCCTTTCACAGGGGTCGCCTAAATACATCCTGCATATCAGATACTTACATCACAATTCATAACAGTAGCAAAATTACAGTTATGAAGTAACAATGAAAATAATTTTATGGTTAGGGGTCACCACAACATGAGGAACTGTATTAAAGGGTCACGGCATTAGGAAGGTTGAGAACCACTGCTCTAACTCAATAGAATAGGTCAGTTTCGATTATTCAAAGTACAACAAGGAGGGACGGGTGTGACAATGGAGCGACTACTCACCATTGCTGAACATCTCATCGTCAGTGAGCTGCCCGTCTCTGGCAAAAAGGACCCCAAACTTGAAATTCACGGAGCCCTGACAATAAGAACAAAAGGTGTTAAAGTTAATTTTATCATCAAAGCACGTCTGAGATGTGCTGTTCATTACCTGGGAAAACCCCCGTCACCAGAATGGACACCTCGGTGTGGGGGGAGTCCCTTCCTCTTGTCCATCCTGATTTTGACAACATTAACAATTATTCCTTTACTCTTACAGGTTTTTATAGCTTACAGATGACACTCTAAGCTTTTATATGAGTTAATTCATTTGCAACTTCATTATCAATGGCCACTGCAGGATGCTAGTTCCATTCTGGGGCAAAACAGAGCTCCAAACAAATGGCCACAGGAACTCACGGGCCTGGCACCATCGTCTAATCAGCCCACCAGCAACAGTCCACGTCCCAGTCAGCAAAGGAGAGTTCGTTGTAATTCAAAGCTTAATGGGACAATCTCAGGCTGATATCTTGTACGCTTCTTTTAGAAATAGAAATGGAAATTGTTGGCAATTTACACTAAAAGCTCGTTTTCTCCGATTCCTAAAGATATTTAATCTGAAGAAGTCACAAAACAGATGTGCCAAGAAAAAAGAAAAAAAGCAAGCCAAGCAAGCAGTAGCTGGTGCAAATGTGCAGTCTACTATCCTCAAATCAAAACTGAATTAAAATCTGATCCCACGGAAATGGTAACCAGCAGCTTTTGCTGGGAAGGGAGCAAGACAGAGGAACAGGGTCAGGGATCTCAGCTGTACTTGTAATATTTCTTTTTCTTAAACTGGGCAGTGGGTTTATAGATCTTCATGGATATTATCCTATCATGACATTTACTGTATGTCTGAAGTATTTTATAATACACCCCCGATATCAGAAACGAATCAACCTCTGCAAGGTTGTCTGACCCACCCTGAGATGGGGGCCTTTTGGGGGGTCAGTTAAGGAGAGACTAGGAGCTAAGTGAGTGGCAGGCCTGGAGTGGGAACCTGGGATCAAGCATTCCTTCCAACACCATGGCACTGTCTTCTCTACATGGCATTGAGTAAAACTGGGAATGACAAGTAGAGATGGGGCCTATGGCCACCTGATGAGTGTCAAAGCTTTTAAACCTTTCATGGGGCTGCTCTGAGTACCATGCTCCCTTATTGAGGACCCCTCTGACTTCAGGTGGAGACTCTAGAACTGTCGGTGTTGCAAGCCCTTTTTCAGTCTCCACCACACGTTATCAAGGTTAGACTGAAGGACTGCAAGGTCTGTATGGCATGCAGAGTTCAGGTACCTGTGCACCCTGGACCCTGGACTTACAGGACTAGGTTTGCCAAGACAGCCTTGGCTTATATCCACTTTGTCTGTTGTCCTGGTGTTACTAATAATTACTCTCAAAAGGGTCTCACTTTAAATGATAAATTACATGGACCCCCTCCTGCTTCAGGTGGAGATTCCAGAAAGACTGGTGTTGCAAGGCCTCATTTAAAGAATTTGGTTTCTAGCACTTCCCAAATAATGCCCATGACTTACAGAGACTTTTCATCTACCTCTAAAATCAAGGTATTGCTTACAATGCATTATTATTGACATATTAACATGTTGTTCTATTAACATATTGTTATTACAATGCATTACTTCATGTTTTAGGAGGGGATAGTCTGATCCAGGGAAACTGGACCACAGTAGATTATATTTTAACCAGCCATTCAACCAGACACTACTAGTGCTTCCCAAGGCTGGGTGCTCCTTGCAGCTGTGAAGCTAGAGGGATACGAGGGAGCTCTCGAGGTCCCAAGGTCACACCTGGGACCTGGAGGGAATGTGCAACCACTGGTTTTCTCAGAACTTAAGACACTCAACATACAAAGTCACATTTATCATTCCTACTTGTATGAAATTTACATTTTTTAAGTTCTTAATTTTATAAGACAAAACTCACCATGATTATAAACCAATGTGAAGTCACATTCTTGGGAATGAATAGTATGCTAGGAATTATATTTCTTCTGAGAAAAGTGAAGTATGATGGGAAACTAAAGTCCCAGTGATTCCAGAAGGATCTTGTGGAATGCAGAAATTATGTCCTTATTTAAAACTAGACATGCCTGGTTCTTTTTGCTCTCGTTTAGGCCACGCCTCTGTGTTCTGGGATTCCGCATATTCCTGTACATCTCTCCCCTCCCTGTGTATACGACCACTCGGGATGCCCTGTTCTCTCATGGAGGTGTCTCTCTGTGCAGTGGACAAATAAAACTCAGGTTCTGGGACAGAGGTACCACTTTACCTAATAGCTAAACTTTTGGGAGCATGACACTATGTTCATTAATTTTTTTCCCAGTCCATCTTTGCAGCTGATAAGTTTACCACTAGAATAAGGTGGAATGGGACAAATGCTCCCAATTTATCCCAGCTGAGAAGCTGCAGGATTACATAGACATCCTTGGCCACACAGTTCTCAGAACAGCCCCAGAGGATGGTGACTGCAGGATACCTCTTCAGGCTGTCATGACAAGTGACTCTTGTTGCTTCAAGCAAATATTCCCTTGGTAGGGAAATAAAATTTAGAAATAAAGAGATCAGCTACTTATTCTTCAAAACTCAGGAGTTTCAAAAAAGCACAGGAGAACACAAACTGTTAACTGGGGTTGTTTTAGGGGGTGGAGGTGGAGAAGTGGAGTTTTGTTAACAGGCCTGTGCATGCAACTCAGTGGATGGTCAATACCTAAATAGGCCTGTGCATGCAACTCAGTGGATGGTCAATACCTATCAGTAAATTAATAACTATACTAATTTTGAGACATTAAAAACTATATATAGTATAATCCTGATTTTATATAAAATATAATAAACATATATACCAAAATGTTAATAGCAATAGTCTCTGTGATTGTAGGTAACATATTGTATATTTCTGTATTTTTCAAATGCTTGCCAGAAATGTAGATTATTTTTGTTGTTTGCCTTTTATAAGTTGCATACAGAATCTATGAGTTCTCCTGCAACCAATATAAATCCAACAAAGATAATATATAGATAAAAATGTAGCCAGGTGTAGTAGCACACATCTTCAGTCCCAGCTACTCAGGAGGCTGAGGCAGGAGGACTGCTTGAGCTTAAGAGTTTTAGGCCAGCCTGGGCAACACAGTGAGACCCCCTTTCTTTTTTTTTTTTTT